GGTGTTTGGGAGAATAAGCCAGGGGATGGAAGTACTCTCTTTGTGTCTCAAATATGCATCTCAGATTCTAAGGAATTAACAGGAAACACACTTGGTAACAAAGGTTTTCTTCAGGTGTGGAACAGCCACAGAACTACGACTTGATATTAGATAAAATTCCCTGTGGTACTTTGAAACGATTCAATTGATGTAAAAGTGAACATATCTTATTGTCCAATGACTGTAGCTACTTTTTTATCTGCATTGCCTGGAAGGCCCATAGATGAGAGTATTGGCAATAGTTAGAAACAAATTTCTCTGCCTTAAGATGAAAACACAAAGTTAGAAAAAGGAAACATACTATTTGCTTAATTTCAGTTATATAAAGACCTGTCAGCATAAACACATAATAGTTTACCCATAACGCTGCAACATAATCAGGATTATTAAACAGCTCCCTGAGCCGATCACTGTAAATTTGACAAGCGAGTCACTAAGTGCTTAAGACTTTGACAGTTGAAGGTGAGCATTCACCTTTCTGGCAGTAAAGGAAAGCAGGCCCAATACCAAAGATGCTCCATGGAATGCGGTGCTGTCCACAGTGTCCAGTGGGCGTGGCCACTTTTCGCAACAGAGCACCTAAACAAGAGGCAAAAACTCCGAATTCATGACATACATATCTTGCCACAAGGAATTTCCTATAATCTGTTTTCAAGATCTGGGCTATGTTGAAGTCAGCGATTTGTACATTCTGTGGCTTCATTTTTTTTTCTTTTAAAATCAGCTCCCAGACTTCTGAGAACTGAATGTTTGCCAGGACTGAGTCAAATTTTCCTACCTTTTGAATGAGTTTGTGCCTTGATTTCAGTGTATTTCTCACAATAAGCCATTCTGTTTCACTGTCTGGGGTCAGGGAGAGATCTCTTTATCCCCAGATGTGTCACGTACCTTGTTCGGGACATGGCCTGCTCTCACCCAGTCCTGTCATCTGTCTCCTCCTTGCCACAGCTCCTCTGAATGGGCACTCAGCCTCCTACTCTTTTATGTTTTTAAATTAAAAATTTCAGAGTTACAGAGAGGTAGAGACAGAAAGAAAGGTCTTCAATGTGCTGGTTCACTCCCCAAATGGGCGCAACGGCTGGAACTGCGCCGATCCAAAGCCAGACGCTTCCTCTGGGTCACCTATGTGGGTGCTGAGGCCCAAGGTCTTGGGCCATCTCCCACTGCTCTCCCAGGCCACAGCAGAGAGCTGGATGGGAAGAGGAGCAGCCAGGACTCGAACAGGCATCCAATGGGATGCTGGCACTGCAGGCAGAGGACTGACCTGCTGTGCCACAGCACCAGCCCCGAATCACAGAATCCGGTGATTGAATCTCACCTCCGCATTGGCTCACTCCTCACTGTAGATGAAGGGCCAGGGAGTCTAACGTTGCTCCTTGGCGCTCTCAAGGAGAGGCCACTTGTTAGCCTCATAGCCAGGCACCATTCAGCACCAGCAGCACCAGCCAGGTTGTCACAAAAGGTTTCCCACATGTACTCTACTTCCAAGCTTGGAGGAATCTCTGGATTTAGGTAATTGATTTCTATCAGAATAGCATTGGAAATGGAAGAGTCATGGCAGAATTTTGAGAAACACTGTAGATTTATACAAGTCTGCTTAGTATTCAGCATCTACTGGCTGGGGGTTATTCGATTATTGTGTTGCTGGTGCACTGCTTCACATACGAATTCAGTTATTTCTGAACTTAAAAACCAAGTCTTCACCTTGGATTGGGCTCTATGAAACTTCTTCTGGATACAATAAACAGAACAGATGTGGACTCTCCCTTGTGTAGGATGCAGATATAAACAAATAGGAGCCCAACCCAAGAGTCAACACAAATACTCCATAAATCCTGTGTTGGAAGTGTTCCGTACGTATTGGCTGGCAGGCGGGGGGAGGGGGAGGGAGCAGGGGCTATTTAAGGGGCAATACCTCGTTGAGCAGCATGGATACATTGGAGGAAAAGAAGAAACCAGATCAGAGCAGAGAAAAACCCACAGCCCTTTACCTTCCGTTGACACACGCAGTGGCTGAGGACCTGGCAGCCCCTGCATTATGCATGCATGGGCTGCTGGGTGTGTGAGACGTGTTTATTTTTCAGTAAACACATCCGGCTTGGCCTGGCTGGAATGGTGAGGCTGCCGTGGTGGCTGCGAGCTCTCCGACATTGTTTCTACCCGTGGTTTCGGACCACACTGGCTTTCTGCTTGTTGTTAGGGTAGTGTGGGGGTGCAGCCGGGCTGCTGCCTGGGACATCAACAGAACACCAGAGGCCAAGGGCTTTGCTCCAAGTCTCCTTTATCTCATGCAGTTTTACAAATGTCTTCCAGGTTTGTATATATGTACATAGGTGGATCTTACTCAGAATTTACTAGGCATAGCCCACATTTTCTCTTCCCCAGTGACTGAAGGCTTTTGTTTTTATTGTATAAAACACAGCATTTTCCGGTTTAATTCAGTTTTATTGTCAGATCAAGAGAAAACAAGTGTAATGCGGTTCTAATTACAGATACCTGATCGAGTGCAGGGTGACAGCCATCACAGGGACACATCTCTGGTTTTGATTTCAAAGCAATCTCCGAGTAAGCCTCCTTTGACTTGGAACATGAGTCAGCATTTAGCAACACTGCGCTCAAACCACTACTCTAGATTCTGCGTGACAGGAGCCTTCTAAAAAGGGCACTGTTTGTTCATAGTTTCGGGTATCTGCGATGGACTTGGCTTTGTGAGACACCAGAGGCTTTGGTTCAGTTATATTTTTAACATTCCTTAAAATAAATCCAAGTGTGTTCCCATTCTGGATGCGGATGAGTATGGTGGAGGAACTGGAGAACTGAGAGGTGCGGCATCCAGGAACTGCGTGCTGGGCTCTGTGCTGGGCTGCCGTGGTTAATACTGTTCTGGTTGCACATAACAAACTTGCTCTGGCTAACTGGAGGGGAAAGAGTGCACTGGAAGGATATTTGTGTGGCTCACAGAATGCGAGACCGAAGCAAGGCAAGGAAGAAGGAATGTCTGGCCTCAGATGCAGGGTCCGTGCCCGTCTCCCTGGGGTGAAGCAGCCAAGGTGAATCCACACCCAACTTTGCACAGGAGGCCACCTCCAGTCACGTCTTCAGCCTGCGACCTGTCAGTCGGGCTGCGAGCAACAGAACAACAGAGCTCAACTGTGTGCTTGTGGGTTTCCACACTTCTACTTTGTGGGCATTTCTAGAAAGGAGAAAATGATTAGGGACTGGTAGCCACACCAGTCAGATCCCTGTGGGGTGCTTTGTAGGCCGAGTTTCCATGAAAAGCCTAGAGGAACCATCACTTCTACCTCACGAACTAGAGAAGTGAAGCTCAGGTTGGGCAGCTTGGCTCAGAGCTCACAAAGGTGGTGGAGTTAGAATGTCCCTTAGGTCTGTGAGGAGGGCACATCTTCACTTACACAGGGGGTAAGATTCTCTGCAGTGGAAACTTAGAGACACTTTATTGTGGTTGTCACAGGGTACTGGAACAGAGTAGAACTACCTGTTGGAAGTTCTAGGATTGGGATGCAACCCCATCCTGTAATCTGGGACCAGAAGAAACCTAATCGACTCCATGAATAAACCTGAAAATACCTACACAAAACAAATACTGATGGCAGAGCATGGGTGATGATTCATCTTTGAATGGAAAGTTGTGCTCTTCTGCTAGTTAAGTGTGCTATAAACGTAGAGCTGCAATCTGATAGCAGTATTAATATTTTTGACAGGCAGAGTTAGAGACAGAGAGAAAGGTCTTCCTTCCATTGATTCACCCCCAAAATGGCCGCTATGGCTGGCACGCTGTGCTAATCTGAAGCCAGGAGCCAGGTGCTTCCTCCTGGTCTCCCATGCAGGTGCAGGGCCCAAGCACTTGGGCCATCCTCCACTGCCTTCCCGGGCCACAGCAGAGAGCTGGACTGGAAGAGGAGCAACCGGGACAGAATCTGGTGCCCCAACCGGGACTAGAACTTGGGGTGCTGGCGCCGCAGGTGGAGGATTAGCCAAGTGAGCCGCAGCGCCAGCCTCAGCATTAACATTTAGCAACACCCAAGTGCTCTCCTACTCTCAGCCTTTCAAAGCAGTTTTATTTATTGAATCATCAAGTTAGAAGATCCTATATAAAATGGACTAAGAAAATCTTATATTAGACTAAAGGCTGCAGATACAGAACGTGAGATCATCTCTCTGAGACTTGAAGGTCACATACAAGATAACTGACTCTTAGCATTGTCGTAGCCCAATGTTGGATCCATCTAGTTCTCCTAGTGAGTACTACCTCAGATGGTCTCTGCCCTTTTGATAAGCAGAGCAAACCACACTACAGTTCTTAATGTAGATATCTTCAACTTGCAATCACTGAAAAACATTACTAGCTATTTTAGCTAGGAAGAATTAAGGTATTCAGATCATCAGAATTCTGGGCCCAGATGATACTTCTCAGTCACTAGGACACCTGTGGCAGAAGTGTTGTGTGCAGCAGTGTTCTGTAAGTACTGCTGCATGGATCGGCATCTAGTTCACATTACTTCAGACGATAATTAGTCTATGTCAACAGCAAAGCTGTATTCCCAGGTGGAAGAAGACAGGACTGCTCATTCTGTGGTGGCCAGGGACGAAGGGAAGGCAGAGACTATGACCTTCTGTTGTGGTTGTGCTGTGTCTGGATCCAGGTGTCTCGGGATCCGAGCTTCGAGCTTCGTGACTTTGTGTATGCCATGCTCCCATAAGTGATACACAGTAGCACCGTGTCCCTGCCTCACCCCGCATAACGAATTCTCCACCCTTTATCTGTAGGCTGTACTTCAAAAACTAAGTAGTTATTAACATTAGCAGGTTTCTTGGTAAATATTAGAGGTAAGGGCGGGTATACAGCAAATACCATAATGAGCACAGAGGTTTGAGCAAAAGATTTTTTTAAAAAAATAGGAAACCATGCTTAAAAAGAAATTAAAAAAAAAACAACCAAATAAATTTTTGGAGCTCTTTTTATTATACTGAGAGGTCTCAGAAAAGTATAAAGCGCATGAGAGTAGAGCATTTCAGAAAACAAGACAAAACACTTGCATACATGTTTTAGTGACATTTAGTTCTGATGTTACAAATACTCAATTTTTCATGGAGGCACACTGCTCATTAAAGAACATTCTGAAGTTTGAGAAGAAATCTCATATGTTCTGTATTTGAAAAAGAGTTCCTATAAATGGCTGATCAATATTCTGTTATGATTGAATACATGAGAAGAATCACTTCATCAATTCCTAGTGCATTTGAAGCCCAGAAATAGAAGGTAAGCATTTATTAGACATACCCTTTGAGTTTAAGTGGCAGGCATATCTGACCACAGTTGTATAACATAGTCATCTTTATTTTGATTTGTGTTTTTGTTTTTAGTGTAGACCAACAAAAATATGGACCCCACTGTAGTTAACTGGTTTGGTAATAAGAGAATGATTTTTCTTTGAATCATACCAGCATTTTATACCCAACTTACATAGATAAATGCTGAAATCCATGGCATTCCCATTTAAGTCAAATAAATGATTACATGTTAGCATCTTACCAAGAATCATTGTGAAACAATAAAAGACTTACTCCTCTTGCCAAATAAAATAGAACAGGCCAACCAGGGGCTATAAAGTTCACTGAACTAACTTGTGATAATGTCGCACCGTGCGAGGGCTTCTGCGCCAACCTCACGTTCTGTTGCTGCTGCTAACAGTGTAATGGTCACTGTGCAGGAGAAGACAACAGACAGCAAATTAGATCAGTTTCAATTCTTCTAAATTTTGATCTGGAAATCATTGTCGAAAGTGGGGGGGGGGGGGCGGGTAGGGGAAAAAACAAACCCAGAGCGTCTTAATCATTCACAGCGTGTATTTGAGAGTCTAAGGATCTGCACGATGCCAGTGTGGGTCACCTCGGCAGGTTCTCTACTCAATGTCGACGGGCTCCGTAGCTATCAGGGCGCTCAGCTGCTTCTGAGCACAGGACAGGAACAGCTCCAGGCTGCACAGGCTTCGCTGGCGGATGACTTGGTCCAGCTGTTCGTTGATTTTGCAGAGGCAGAGAGAGAGGGAAAAATACACTTAGTTGAGGGATAGGGGATGCTACATCTGTGAAGCCCACATGAGAAACTTACAGATGAGAGGATACAGAAAAGTAAACAGTGCTCGTAAAGCAGGTGACAATGCAGTCTGTCTGGTCTGTCATTTAGGACGACGTGATAAACAGTTCAAGTCTGTAACTGATGCTGGTATTCACTTACTAGAGAAATCATGTATTCAATCAGTGATTTTTAGAAAGACCAAAACACTGTAAGAATGTCAGTTTTTAATGAATGTATAGAGCAGATATTAGCAACTGTCAAATGTCACAGTATAGATAAAGCAACATTATTACACCATGCATAGGGTTTAGTCAAAAAATAATTGAGGTAGACTATAGAAAATACTTGATATTGTTGAAACTTACTTGACCTATTCCCCTTGTTAAGAGGTTTTGTTAAAAAACAAACAAGAGTTTTAATTGGAAGTCAGTTGACTATATTAAAGAGCTTTATGGATCATAAACATTACTAAGTTTTTCCACATTATAGAAGCAAGCTAACAGTGACAAAACGTTGCCTATGATCACAGAATGATGAAGGAACTGAAAGGAAAGGCAAATAAATTCTATTCCACAATAATAGACATGTTACATTAAAAGTTTACATATCCTTTCTATAACACCTCAACAAAAAAAGAAACAAAGTATATCCATACAAGAATTATCTATTACACTCTGAAATTCAGATATCCCAAGTGACTGAAACCACAATAAAATTCTGAAATATCCTAAGAGCTTAAAGGAACATTATACATAGCAAAATGCTCATATGAGAAACAGTGGAGCACTATGGAGGCTCCATTCAGGTCTATTCTGAGATTACAGTATATGTGCAGAAACCCTTTCGCCCTCTCCATTTATCAATTAATACCTTCATGTGAGTTTGTTCTGCTTACTAGACCATTATAAGAATCCTTGACCTGTAATCCCAGGTGAGCACAGATCCCGTCTGCCTCACTAAGAACTCCATGCCTAGCTTCTAGAAGAGGGCCTGGCGTGTGTCATAGGCAAATACTTGCGGACAGTGAATGAATCAGTAAATGCATAACCATATTAGGGCAGGGCCATCTACTAGAACGTAAAAGGAGCATTTTTAATGCTGAGTGAGAGCACACGTAACCCCATCAAACCGTTACTTGCAGTTGCAAGAAGCTGGATTTTATGGTAAACAGCTTGAAATTGATACCCACAGCTTTCTGCAAGTGGTAGAGATTTGCACAGGGCAGAAACGAGTGTCCCAACACTTAGTTCCATTCCATGCTGCTGGGATCTCTGCACTTGGGGATGCTTCGAGTGTTTAAATACAGGCTTTTAACTTAGGACTGTGGGACACTGCACACGCTCAGTTCATTCCCCTGCCACTAGAAGTTTTTACCATCTAATTAAAAATCGCTCGACTGTGTTCCGTAATTTACTCAGCCACTCTGCCGTTGATAGGCAGAGTTGTGATCTTCTGCTAGTTAAGTGTGCTATTACTTTCTAGTCTCTGAAGCAATAAGGAAATTCACTACTGGAGTACACACCCTGCAGAAGATGTTCCAGGGCTGCTCTTGGCCACATTCCAATATGTGGAATTTGTCAAAGATGCACATATTATAAACTGTGATAGATGCTACCAGATTGCTTTCCCGAGTGAGCGTGCCAAGTTGGCAGTCCCAACTGCAGTGCCTGAGAGAACTAACTTTCCTTTTTCTTTTAACCTGTTGCGTATTTTTCCACTGTATATTTATAATCTAATATGTACAATAGGTGTTTTCATTTTTTAAAAAATACATAAGGATTGTTCTTAATCTTTTGCTATTATAATCATTGTTGGAGTGAAAATCCTTCAACACAGTCTCCAAATGCGTGTGTTGGTGTATCCGGTAGAAACTGCTTGAACCAAAGAAGGTGTAATCTGCTGTGCTAGCTCTAATAATAAACCAGTTTCCATACTTACAGGACTTTGTCTTTGGCTTTCTATCCTGTTCTCTGGGAAAATTGTGTGTGTGTGTGTGTGTATGCAGATGTAATGCTATCTTTTTTTTTTAATTGACAGAGTTAGAGAAAGAGAGAGAGACAGAAAGGTCTTCCTTCCATTGGTTCACCCCCTAAATGGCCACTACTGCCGGCGTGCTGCGCCGATCTGAAGCCAGGAGCCAGGTGCTTCCTCCTGGTCTCCCATGCGGGTGCAGGGCCCAAGCACTTGGGCCATCCTCCACTGCACTCCCAGGCCACAGCAGAGAGCTGGACTGGAAGAGGAGCAACTGGGACAGAATCTGGTGCCCCGACTGGGGACTAGAACCCAGGGTGCCGGTGCCGCAGGTGGAGGATTAGCCTAGTGAACCATGGTGCTGGCCATAATGCTATCTTAATACAACAGGTGTGTAATAAGTCTTAACATATCACGTCGCACTAATGCACTTCTTTGATAAAAGAAGCCGAAGTCAGAAGGACGTTCTTCAGTATACTGAGTGGGTGGGAAAACATTTAAAGGCAGGAGTGATGCAGTCAGAAGTGAGGACACATATGCTGGTGGGCAGGGTCCTGACGCAGCTTCACTTTGACACTCCTCAATCTATGTGTGATTTCCATCATGTACTACCTTTAAGAAGTCATAATCTTTGAAAACCCCCACAGAACTCTGAATAGCCTCACTAAAAACAAAAAGATGGATTTAATGTCTTAGAATTGACGGATGGCAGATGAAAGCAACTTTTCTTGGAGGAAATACGGCACAAACTCAAGAAATTTAACATTCAACTTGCGATTGCATAAATAGTCTGGATTATGCATTCAAATGAGCATTCTGTGATTTTTTTTTTCAAAAAGGGTATGTGTAAGGAAAGAAAATGTGGTAGATTGCTGTTGAAAGACATCAAGAGTGCCACTTCTTTCTTATCCTAGAAGTCATTCTGGAGTTACTGATCATAAGAACATGAGCATACTGGTTTTGGTTTGGGCAGCTGCCAAGGTTCACTTCAAATCTTTGACTATGCCTACTCAGAGCCCGGTGAAGGGAAGAATCCCTGAAATACAGAGGAGCAGCTAGGTGACGTCAGTACTTCATGAGACAGAAACTGACAGAAAGTGGGCCATCAGAGTTGTGCTTCCAATTTAGTGGGTCCTTCCCAGGCAACCTATATAATAAGATCCTGTCTAGGAGAGGGGACACTCAGGACTTTGTCTTAAAAGGATGTTGAGTTCACATGAAACAGATTGCTGGCTCATTCTTGAATCTCCACAATTCAGTTTTATTCGGCATGACTTTATTATCCTTTACTGAGGCAAGAATTTTGGCAAAACAGTCATGTGTTTTTTGTTTTTTGCCTCTTTAAGAATGGAATTCTGTGTTGATGGCTTTGCTTTCAAACTCAGTCAAGGATTAACAGGTATTACGTCCAGAACATCACAGTTCAGTTCTAACTGCTTGATTTTCCCTCACATCGTTGCTTCAGCTCTTAGACACATGAAAGAACTCTTAATTCTCTTAAGCAGATAATTGGGCTTTATAATTACTTTTCCTCCTGATCACCCTTCAGTTTCCTTGTATATTGCTGAAAGCCAGTTAGTAGCATACAACTGACTAAAAGTTGTTTATGCACATGGACTTGGAGTAGAATATGCCAGAGTGAAAGTAGAACAAAACAACTCTTGATTTTAGCTTTTGATTCCGTCACCAAAACACAATAAGGACAGTGAACTTCGACTAGTCTAAATACCAATAATCAGAAGTAATGAAAAACAAATCTGGCTTCTTACTGTAATGGCACAGCTTATTAGGAACATTGGTCACATCCCCAAGGACGTGTACACACACACAGGTGTGCTACTTAGTACTATATTTTCGTTATCTTTTGGGCTTTTACCAATATACCAGGAGATGTGAAAATAGTAGGCCTACCATTATCTATGCTACTCCTTAACTCTGACATACTTGAAATTTATGCCTAAAAATGATCTCATTTTTCATACAAACTAAGTGGATATCGGGCAGATCCACAGATGGGAGCGACCCATGTACAAACGGTAAAGTTTCATAATGTGCTTCCTGGGCTCAGTTGTCAAGTTGGCTTGGGAATTCTCTTCTGGGCACATAAGAAAGGCCGGGCTGGTGATCTGGAATTCACAGTACAGAAGCAGACTTGGCAGTGAACATGGTCATGTTGGGTGGGAAGGACTTCCACTGAAAAACGTGGTGGAGCGTCCATCTCTGGTGGCTCTCGGGGGTGCCCCTGTCATGCCGCTGTCGGGATATGAGTGCTGCCCTCTTCCTCCGGACCTCGGACGCAGCCTTCCCACCTACCCACATCATACGCTGGAGCTGCTCTTCTGATGACGTGTTTTGAAACTGAGCCAATCACTTGGTCCAGTAGTCCATCAGTTGATCAATAAAGAATTGAAAACCACTCAGTAGTTCTGTGTTACTGCTCTGAGGCCAGTGGGAGAAAAATAGTCAGTACTGTTCCTGTGTTGAAGAGGTTTATGATCTTCTTGGAGAGACACAGATGGAACAATAATGTGCTAACATAATAAAGGACTGTCTTTGCCATACATCAGAGAGGGGAGGGCCATGGCAGGAGACTGCAGCAGGGAAACCTTATTGCTGGGCCTTTCCTTAGACAAACAAGCGCAAGATAGGATGTGGAGGGAATTTCAGGGAAAGTGAAGTAATGAAGACGAGTAGAGAGAACTGTCTGGACACACACATGGTTTAGCCCCTACTGTGTGCCAGACACTGTTCAGGCACTAGGGATTTGCTGATGAGTAAGACTGCTACATGTCTGCCTTTATAGCATTTTCTGCTCTACAGAATTTGAGGAGGTAAAATGATATTCTTGGGATGGAGATAAATGCTCCAAGAAATAACCAAGTACAGTCAAGGGTTAGACAGACACAGAGGAGAAAAAAGGGTAGAGAAGAGCACTTGGAGACAGTGGTAGTTAAGACATTTGAG